AGTATACACAATATTAATCGGAGGTATTAAGTTTTGTAGATTTATATTTGAGTGAAGAGGAGATAAAACAGCTAACTCTTCACGAGATTGAGAAGATTTTGAAGAGGAATGGTACTTCTTTAGAGGCATGGGAATCTATGCCAAAGCCAATATCTGATTTTTCTCTCCAGGAGAATGTTTTGATTATGGACGAGCTTGGATATGACAAAGAGCAGTTAAAAACTGAACACGATCTTGATTTTAAAAAAATGACGGACAAGCAGAGAAAGATATATGATGAGGTTCTTAGTGCTGTGTTAGAAAAGAGAGGAGGTGTGTTTTTTGTCTATGGGTTTGGTGGAACTGGGAAAACATTCTTGTGCAGATTGTTGTCTGCTGCTATTAGATACAGAGGAGAAATCTATTTGAACGTTGCATCCAGTGGGATTGTTTCTTTGCTACTACTAGGGGGAAGGACAGCACATTCTAAATTTGGGATACCACTTAATCCAGATGAGTTTTCTACTTGCACACTAACTCACGGAACATACCAAGCGAATTTGATTAAAGCAGCTTCTCTGATTATTTGGGACGAAGCCCCGATGATGAGCAAGCATTGTTTTGAATCATTAGATAGGAGTATGGCTGACATTGTTGGGAACAATGACAATTTAACTTTTGGTGATAAAGTTGTTGTCTTAGGGGGAGATTTTAGACAGGTTTTACCTGTAATTCATGGAGCTGGAATAGCTGAAATTGTTTTGGCATCTTTAAATTCTTCTTATCTTTGGAAGCAAGTCAAAGTGTTGAAGCTGACAAAAAATATGAGGTTGATGTCTAACGATTTATCTCCTAAAGAAGCTAGAGATTTGGAAGAGTTTTCAAAGTGGATATTAGATATTGGAGATGGAAATATAGGCGACAACAATGATGGCGAGGCTCTAAAGATATTCTTGAAGAGTTTCTTATTCTTGATGCAGAAGATCCTATTGAGTCTATAAGCCAAGCTGTGTATGGTGATGTTGTTTCTTTACAGCAGAATAAAGAGCCTAAGTTTTTCCAAGAGAGAGCAATACTATGTCCAACTAACCAGGATGTCGAGAAGATCAATCAACACATGTTGGATAAACTCGATGGTCAGTTATTGTTTTTTGTTATCAATATTATTTCGCAAATTGTACATTCATATACCAAGTTAACATAATAATTTTTTTTATAAATATTTCAGGTGAGGAAATGACCTTTTTAAGTTCTGATACGATAGATGCTTCAGATAAATATTCAGTTAACGATCAAGCTCTTACTCCAGATTTTTTAAATACCATCAAACTCTCAGGTTTGCCAAACCATAATCTTCGCTTAAAGATTGGTTGTCCTATTATGTTGCTCAGAAACATAGATCCCACAGGTGGATTAATGAATGGGACACGACTTCAGGTTACAGAGATGTACCCTAACATTATAAAGGCAAAAGTTATTACAGAATATAAGGATAAGGTTGGTCGAGTAGTTCTTATTCCTAGGCTTGCTATTACCCCTTCTGACAAGAAGTTACCTTTCAAGATGATGAGGAAGCAACTTTCTATTTCTGTTGCTTTTGCTATTACAATCAATAAGAGTCAGGGACAATCTCTATCAGAAGTGGGCATATACCTACCAAGGCCTGTTTTTTCTCATGGTCAATTATATGTGGCTATTTCAAGAGTTACGTCCAAAAAGGGGTTGAAGATTTTAATTGTGGACGATGAAGGAAAGCCTCAGAGACAAACACTGAATGTCGTTTACAAAGAGATCTTCCAGAATCTCTGATTTTTTATGTTGGCAGTTCTATACAGTTTTATATTTTATATACTTTAGAATGCCTTTCCAATTCTTGAATGAATTTGATCTTTAAAGTTTAGTTTAACTTTAGTTTTCAAAAGTCTATATTATATTATGAACCTAATATTATACCATGCAGTCAAATCTATACAATTTAACTAACAAATCATTAAACTTTATATCTAAAATAATCTCATAATAAACAGGATCATGTATTTCGAAACATCAAATGCTTTTTATCTAATACATTTCAAAAATAAAGGAACAGATTTATGACCCAATTATATTAGGCTTCTAAATTATTAAAATCTAATGGGCTATTAGTCAGATTAAGCCTTGAAACGAACTGATGTTTAGGTTTACTTCTTATCTATATAAGACTCTTCGCTTGACTACAATAACCATAACATCTCTTCGTTTATCTCTCTCTCATCGCAAAAAGGTACGAATTTCTTTCAATGTTCTTTCTATTCTTTTGTGCGTTAGTAGATGTTGTTTCTGATGTTAAATCTGTTCTATCTTAGACTGTTTCGAAACATCCTTGCATAAACCGTCATAAAGTTTATTCAATATTTTCATTTTAGGGTTATAGTACAAAATCCATTGTCTGCAGATTTTATAAATCTGCAAAAATACATGGGATCTAACTATAGAGAGTATTTGATGGGTGTTTATATATAATTTACATGCATTTTTCTTAGGGTTTACTATAGTGTGTTGTATGTTTCCTAAAATATATATTTTTTGTCTATGAGTATTTTCATCGTAAAGCAGATAAGACATTCTTTCTGTTGTTAGATCTGTTCTGCCTTCAATTGTAAACCGTATCTAGGTTACAAATCTTTTTTATTGAATATTGGCATTCTAGGGTTATATAAGTGTTTCATATATGTTCTTTGTTTTATGAATATTTTATTAACAGTGAGATGAAATATATTTATCATATATTGGTAGTGTAGGTTTAAATAAACTTATATTCTCTAAATTTTGATTTTTTTCATATATTCTCTAAATTTTGATTTTTTTCTTGAACATTGAGAAGTATCTCAATGGCACGTAACAGAGATCTCAAAATGAAAGGTCCACTCATGGAGGAAAAATCACAAATTGCAAAGGATGCTTACCAAAGGGGTAAGTTCGAGACCATGAAGCGATACAGGCTATGTTGATTATGTGTCGGGACCAGACAAGAGCCATTGAAGAAAGGCACCTGGTTGAACTCAATAAGGTTCGTCTAGAGGCCGAACTTGATTTCCTCCATGAATGTGAGTCTCTTTTTTCCATGTACCATGAGAAGAAGAAGACCGAGTTCGAACTGGCCCTAGCCGAATCCAAACTTGAAGATGTTCGTGTTCCGCCTATAGATTGGTTCAAGCTGGGTGAACCAATGATGTATGACTGAGCATCTAATGGGAACCCTATCTCAAACTTAAATATTTAAGTTTATTTTAAAACTTTTTTTTTGTTTAAGTTGAACTTCATATATCGGTTGTTTCAACCGGTATTTTAATTAAAGACTTTATTAGTAATGTTTATTATTGCTTGATTTACTCTTCTTACTTTATTTATTGCTTGATTTATTCATATTTATGGCTTTTTAGTTTTATTTTTCTTCACAGAAAATGTTTTTAGAACCATTTTAATGATTAGATACGCAGTATTAAGGCTCTCACTATTAAACAACTACTAGATTTTTAAACTGGTAATTTTTTCTTATTTTGTTATCTTAATTTTAAAATATATTTTTGTTATTATTTTGTTTTCACTGTTCTGAAATGTGCTTTTGATATGATTGACAAATATATCAACTTCCGAAACACGCTTCTTTTATGGTTTATACTTCAATGATGTTCTTTCCAAGAAGTAATAATTTGACATTTTAGTAAAAACTAGAGTCTGAAGCCAAAAGATTTTGTATATATATTGAATTTATCAATGCAAGATAATCATTACTGTTTTTGACTTTCTTTTCTACATGCAAAAATCAAATATAATAATAGGATAGTTTATTAATATTCTTTTGAGATTATCTACGCAGTGGATTGTTTAAATAGGATAAAGCTTTTATAATATTATTTTAAATATTTCAAATTTTACATTATATTGTATTTTGATTTTTTATTTTAGATCATGGTTTATCTTCAGAATCATCTTTGTTTTTAAAACTATTTGTTTTGAATCTTAGATGTTATTATGAGATAATTAATTAAAATTTTTAAATGGGCTTTATTTACATCCAATTTATATTAAAAATGTGACCAAGTTTACTATGGGCTTTCTCTTGATCCAATCAAATTTCATATACACAAATCATATCCAACTAACTTTCACATACAAATTATATATACAAATCTATCACATACAAATTCCATATAAAAATCTATCACATAATATATTATATCTACTTTGTCATTAGTAAGTTAGTTTCCATAGTTGGATATGAAATTTTATTACACAAAATATCTGACATAAGAAATAACACATAAGAGAAATGTCAATTTTCACAAAATGAGACAAATCTTACGATATAAATACTGTTTCCATAATACCAGGAATATATATTGCACCACAAATATTAATCGCATAGATTCACATAATACGATAGCTTTTATCAGTCAAAAGTTTGAAAATATTTAATGCTTTTTTAATAAATATTGGTAACATGCAAAAATAATATAAAAAATAATGGCAAATACATTTAATTTCGACAAAAAATATAGGTTATTAAATGAAGTGTTGGAACTACACAAAGCTCGGCTTTATTCTTTCTATAAAGTGGAAACTCTACCGTCTCATATCAAAATCTCTTTTGCTCCATATTTTTCTCAGCAAACCAGAAGAAAACAAATTTGTAAGTTATCTTTTTTTTTGTAATCTATAGTGCAAGTACCTGTGGAATCTCTATCACCTCCTATCTTAGTATATTGCAATCTCTCTTAGTTTTTCCTCTGTTTCATATGGAATCAAACTTTGTTACCTATTTTTTTAGATCTTTCATTGTTGAACGAAACATGTTGTTTATTTTGTATATGATTATAGCAGCCATTAGATCATGCATTAACCGATCAATGAGAGTTGATGAGATCCCCGCTTAAGTATTTTAAGATTTCTTTCATGACAAATGGTTATCTTTCATATATATAGTCTCTTTTAATATCTTCATTGAGAGTTAAATGTTTTGATGGTGTTATATATCTTTTTTTTGTCTAAGTTATTATTTCCATTAACATGAACATGCAGATCACTATTTAAGTATGTCTTCGCACCAGTTTCATGGATCAATGTTGCAAGAGGCTTACACGTCTGAAATGAATGATATGACTAATCATTACCAAATGATTCTTAACATGTACATGAGGTTTCATGAAGCCGTTGTTGCGAAGCATGATGCTGAGGTGGAAGTGTATCGCATTTCCAGTAAACTTGAACTCTTTGATGAGATCTTCAACGATGGCGTTATGAACCATGTCAAGGACAAGCTGGAACAGGAACTTGCTCTTGCTCATGCCCGTCTTGCTGATGTGAAGGTTCCCAATCTCGATTGGGAAAATCTAGGAGAGCCACAAATGTGGCGTTAAGTTATCTCTATCCTCATCTCTTATGTTTAAGATGTTATGTCTATGAACTTTTTAACTGCTGCCTGGTTTACAAAACCTGTGTTTTTTTATATTTTGAACTGGAATGCTCAACCTAATTTTTTTTATGTTACAAGTCTATCTTTCTTAATGTCTTTCGGATTAATGTTTTTCGGATTCTCAGTTCAATTACAAAGTGACCCGGCTATGTGTAATCTAATTAAAAGACTCAACTAAAAGGTTAAATACACATCAGATTCAAACATAAAAGTCTCATATAATACTAATCTAATCATTTCATAAATGTTCTTACAACCAAAACAAAATCCGCGCTTCTCAAGCGCGGGTCAAAATTTAGTTAATTAATTAAAATATAGTACTTTATACAAGAAGACAAAACATGTTTTATATTAAAATCCCATAAAAGTTGGGGTTTTCCTCATAAACTAGTTAAAATTTTGAAAAATAGTTTCCCTAAATTTAGGGATCTATTTGTCAATAATCTTGATTAGAAAAGAAAACTTTTTTTACGAAAGCAAAAACTAAAAACTAAAACTTGATTAGATGAAAATTAGTATATATTGGAAAAGAAAATCCAAAAACTAAACAAAACTACAAGCAATCATCATTTTCAACTTTTGGTTTTAGTTTTTGTTATGCTATAATGTTTTTAGTTTTTTCAAAAAAATAATGAATACATTATTATAAAAATAATACAAAATAGCAATAAAATATTGTTCTATTTGGAAAATTGACGCAAAATATGAAGTCAACCCCAAAACTAACTTATGATTTTTTGGATTTTTTGTTTTGTCATATTCACCCCACAAGTTCATAGTTATTTACAAAAATGCCATTAGCTTTTTTATTCAAAAATGGCAGTTTTACTCTCTCAACCCCATCATTTTTAAGTATTTACAAGATTGTCATTGCCATCAATATACCAACCACCATGAACAACCAATTTGAAGCTCTTAATGCACCTCAAATCAATTTACACTTCTTCTTTCTCAATTCTTATGAACTAAAAACAACATCTCTTTCACTTTTTCTCCATATTCATCCAAAAAACTCAAGAGTTTGATTCTAAATTTTTTATGGTTCATAGAGCCATTGAAACTTACGATTCATAGTGGGTCACTTTTGTTTGAGATTATGGATGCTTGGAGAAGAATTCTGTGTACTAAACAAGTTATCTCACTCGTTGAAACTATAAAATCGAGAATTTTCCATATCTATTCGTCCATATGACTTCCAGGTAAGTCGTCTGGCTGTAGATTAGTTTAAATATTTTTGATTCAGACGACTTCCTAGACGATTTACGAGAAGACTTAATATTTTTAGCGGAAAATTAAAATATTTTTAGCAGGAAACTAAAATAGAAGAATTCCTAGATGACTTACAAGTAAGTCGTCTGGTTTAAATTATTCACCAAAATATTTTTAGCGGAAAACTATAATATTTTTAGCAGGAAACATGAACTTGATTAACTCCAATAAGCTGATCAATTTTGAAATAAAATTTGGGATTTTGAAATAAAATAAAAGAGAAATGGCATGTATGTGTAAGAAATAAAGATATGAAGATGTAAATGTCGATTTTAGATGTATTTAGAACTTGAAATTGGTTGTCCACAATGGTTAGTGTATTGATGATAATGGTAATGTTGTAAATAAAGAGAAATATGAGGATTATATAATAAAACAACAACTTTTGGAAAGAAAGTAATGGCATTTTTGCAAAAGAAAGTAACGATATTTTCGTAAATAACTTGAACTTTTGGATGAATAGAACAAATGAAAATTCCAAAAAGACATGTTACATTTGGTGTTGACTTCAGGTTTTAGGTTGTATTTTCAAAATTTTCTTTATTATGTTTGTAAAATTTTAGCTTTATCTTAATTTTGTGATTATAAACAGATACCATATTTTGAGATGCTAAATATATTTCTCATTTGTGAAAATTAAAATTTAATATAAAATGCAGCTTTTTATGAATTATAATATCTACTATGTTTTGGGAGCATATTTAAAATTCTAAAATAATAGTATTTTATTTTAATAAAATAGTTGTTAAAAATTTCATGTGAAATAATTTAATACATTGGTTGTTGAAAATTATCAATAATGGTTTATGTTTATTAGGATTTTTCCGCATTGAGCGCAAACTATCTACTTTATAATTTTAATTTTAAGTTTTTTATATTTTAATTTCACGTTTATCTCTTATGTGAATATATGATTTCATTTTTATCTTTATTTGAATTTCTGGTTCATCTGTTTATTTAATTTTATTTCAATTACTGAAAATGTTATTTTATACAAATAATTTTAATATATTCAATTTTCATGCGTTACGTTTTTTATGTGGATAATCTTATTTTTTCTTTGGGATTTTTTTATTTAGAAAAGGCACAAAATATATTTTTTTTTGTTATACTCTTGGATTTTCTTGGAATATTTTTTTTGTGCCATCACTTTTGATTACAGAAAAAATAATCAGTAAGTGTGGTATAAATAACCAGAACAGAATTGAACAATCGACAAGACACAGTTTTCTATGAAAAGAGTGAGCGGATCTAACTAAGAAATCTACAGTTCTATTTTGTTCTCAAGGAATGTAGCATATCCCATAATTTTGAATTCTTCTCTTCAGTGCTTGTATTTCCTCCAACTCTATAAATAAATTTGGCCATACCTAAGAGTCCTTTCGCATTGCTCTCAGATCTTTGCAGTCCATGCTAAATTGCTGACATGGCGACTGAATTAACATAATTTCTAGTGTATCGTTTCAAACTCCATATGCAATACATGATTTCTAGTGTAGCGCTTCAAATTCCATATGCAATACATATCTGTTCGTCTTTGGTTCCTCATGCCCTTTAGAATATTATATTTCAAAACTTCCTTTCATTGTTAGCACCTATCTATCAAACACACTAAAGAGAACAAAACAATATATCTACATTATTAAAATAAAAGCACATTTTGAAAATGCCCTTAAAATTTATTTACATTAGAATACCACTGAAATAATAAATTTAGTTCCCTTAATTATAGTTGTCTTTTCCGATTTATAAATGCATTTTCCTAATTCGAATTTAAACAAATAAACATGCAACAATAACTTAAAGTAGTTATTAAAAATTAATGTAGATCTGTTATATTCGTGTTTTAGGTTGAGGGAAGATATTTAGTAATATTGTTTTTAGATGGTTTGTTTAGATTGACGAGAAATGAAATATGATTACTACCTTTTAAATATGAAATAGAAATTCAAATCATATGAATAAATATTGATTAAATAAAAATATAATTTTTTTGAGTTATTGTTATAATATAACAATAAAATCGTCTGTTTTAGATATTCTCAAAAGTATTAAACCACAAAAGTTATCTATACTATTAAAAAAATTAGAAAAGAGAAATACCCCTTAATTTTACCACTTATTTACATTATAATTCTAGTGAGATATTTATTGAATCTATATCTAAGTATGCATGTCTTTTCCTTATCTAAATTATAGATTTAAACATTTAATGTCTTTTTACCAATTTAAATAATAGATTTGTTTTATCAAATCTTAACCAAAATAGTTTTCCCAATATATTTCGTATTAACATATTAAATATTTTTAATATTTATTACTAATAAATAATAAAATAAAAAGTCACATCATATCAATTTATATAACATAATAGAAAATGAGATAATTTATTCATATATTATTGGTTTCATATTATAAGTCCAATTAGTTATAAATATTGGATTTGTTTATAACATACACTGTGATATAAGCGACGATTAAAATCACAAAATATAATTATTCAATGTAATAAATAAAATTGTTATATTTTAAAATTTTATATCAACAATTATTTAATACATTTTAATTTAACATATCTATATACATATTATGAAATATATTATACCATTAGTACAAAGAAAAAAAATTAAAGTGAAAGCAAATATTTATATGATCACAGGTCAAGTACTAGAAATAAACAACAACACTGCAAGATTTTTTTTATAAGAAAATTATTTGAACAGAAATTATGGTTCCAGATATGTTTATATATTTTATGTATTTATAAATTTATTTTATTTGTCGTAAGGGATGCTAAGGTTTTGAAATTAGAAAAAAAATATGACTCCTCTCTATATTATTTTAATTAGGAAATTTACATCTAAGTCATATATTAGATTCCAACAATAAAGCTTGCTTCGCCAAAGCATCTGGATCTTTGTTTTTCTCCCTAGGGATCCATTTGAATTGGACCACCTCAGAATCCGACACTACAGCAATATCAGACACAATACCATATATTTCAGGGGACGGTGACCTCGTTGTAATAGCTTTGACAAGCTGAATCGAGTCTGTTTCACATCTAAGTCGCTGGATCCTCAACTCTTTGCACTTGAAAACTGCTTCTCGAATGTCCAGGGCTTCGCTACCAATGGAGATGCCACGTAATGGCAGTGGGCACAGAATGATGATCTCTCTGCATTTTTCCGAATACTCCAGCCGAGTCCTGCAATTCCAGATTCTACACTCCAAGCCGCATCTGATTGTAAGTTGTAGCGGTTTTCGAGTGGTCTTTCCATCACTGTATTACGACGCAGTGTTAGAGACTAACTTTCTTGTCAATTCAGTGTACTCAAAAAGGGGATACAAAGTAGTTTATCTTTCTTTTTAATTAATTTAACATTTATTCCAAAAAAAAAAATTCTTACTTTGCTTGGTCATAAGGGTAGTCACCGCGTCCCCCAAAACTGTTCTCGATCAATATTAGCACATGCTGGAGTACTAAGTTTTTTTCTTTCCACTCCCTTCAAGATTAAGCAAAGACAATTTTCTTATTGTTAGTCCTATAACTTCTAATCCCATGGAGTGTTTGTTTGCTTTTAAATTCTAATGAAAATATGTAATCCTAATTTATTTTACCATAGATATGTTAGTAAATAATATCTTCTCTTTCTCATACCACATACAGATGATGTTGTCGACTTCAATATTGGCTTGCTGCATTAGCAATATAAAGCAAGAAACAACAGGAAATCTTAAATATAATTAATCAAATAATCAAATAAATCATTAGGCAAAGACATTGATGTTGGTTGCACAAAAATAAAGCAAAGACAGTGATGTTGAAAACACTGTCTTTATTCCAACTAAATAAAACCATGTGAAACGAAGCAAACTTGATGGTAGAAATGAAAGAAGGTAAGAGCTATCTAAAGACTATATCTACCGTAATACAAAGGTTGAATATGATGGTTGCTGCTTTATTAAAAGATGGACATGATCTTCCGGTGATTACCATTTAGTTGTTTTACTGAATATTTCTAGTGAGTTACAATCATCTCATATATTAGAGAACTTCTAATCACGAGTTGTAAGTTGCAACCATTAAATTTCAGTACTTTACACTAAAATTTGGTAACTGAAACTTTATACACACATGTCGTATCTGTTCTACATACGATATAACATATAAGTTGTGTTCAAGTCAATAAGTGAAGGGTAGAGCGACCATAATAGTGAGTTGGACATGACCATACTTCTATTTTCCCTCCAGACATAACAATCATATTCACAAAAGCGTCGGAGGAGAGCCAACATAAGCTAATCACGAGATATGCCACGTCTTCGGCAAGAACTTCAATTGATAGAAGAGTTTAAAAATTTACCAACTATTTGGATTGCAATAAACTCACAAATAGGGATTTTTCCACAGTAAGGATGATGCCACATGATCCATATTATGTGGAGTTTTTCTTAATTTACATTGCGAATCAATTTCCAAAATGATGAAGAAAAACTAAAATATCATGAAGAAAAAAAAGATTATCTAAAGCCACTTTTAATTGATGATTAGAAAGAAAATGGAATGTTCTAATGTTTGTTATGGTAACTTTTCAGTTTTTTTCCAACGGGAAACTCTTTAGATGACTCCTAAGGAAGATAGAGAGGTTGATTGGTAAGGAAGTTAGGTGGGCTGACTGCTCAAGTACCCAAAAAAAGTTAAACAGTCAAGAGAGCATAAGCGGTTCTTATATGCTCCATAGTCCATATCATAATGCTCTCTTGTTAAGCTTTTAAAAGATCATTTAACCTATTAATCTATATAATTACAAATCTACCTTTCTATACTTGGATAAAAATTATAAGCATAACTACACAATATATTCTAACCCTAATCCTAACTACGTCCAACTCTATTATATATATAGGTTACTAAAAAACTTTTTTTGTCTTCCACAAAAAAATGCCGTCAGCAATTGAAAGGAAGGTATGTGTTTTTTTTTTATATCTTTAGTTGAAAAGTACACTTGAAATTTTGTCTTTCCCAACAAATGTATGTGTAGAAATTTTTTATATTGTAGAATAATGTTTCTAATTTAATGTTGTGCACATATATTACTTTTATAACGTAAAACTATGCATATGTTGTGTGTTTAAAGTTACTATACGTACATGCTATTTCATGCTCTATGCTCTGTACAATGGTGTTCCTAATGAATCCCTCAATTTTTCATTCTTTTTTCTATTTTAAAATGTATAATTATATGTTCTTGGATTTTTTTAACTTATCAAAACCAGGAAAATGTCGAGTCCACAAGATCTTATCCCACCTACGGTCAAGGTATGAATATTAAAACCATTAATTAAATTTATTTTGTTTGAGTCTTGTATTGTTTATAATTTTATATATTTATTTGTTTCTTTGGATTTTTTGCCAAAAAGTGTTTGGACACATGAAATGAGTTATGATATGTTAGTATTAGCTAATGGTGAAAAATATAAGGGATATTGGAAATGAACATGTTTTAGTGAGATGGGAAGACAAAACATTCGAGCTGCACTTTCTGCAAGGTTTTGGTTTAGACCTACCTTACGGTAAAATTAAAAGCCGTCTTGAACATTTACAAAAGCAATATGATATATATAAATGTGTAACAAAAGATGCAACCGGATTGGGGTTCACTGAATTTGGTGAGATTGATATGAGCACGGATTGGTGGGATCAGTTTATTAAAGTAATTTTAATGTGTAAATTTGTATCATTGTAATTTTTTAATTTTACAAATTTTTCTTCAATTTATAATTGTAATTTGTATGTTGTAGGTGTGTCCAAAAGCTACAAAAACTCCGTATTCATCCTTTACGTGATATTCCACTACTTGATTCTTTATACGATAGAGTTACAATCTCTGTCAGTGAAGGTTGTCAACATCAAGAAGGACCAAGCCAACTGCATCAACAAATAGAATCCGAAGAAGAAGAAACTGATGAGGTATCACCTCCAGTAAATAGGCTTGTAGATAGTCAAAATACTCACCAAACACATGGTTTCAAAGAGTACATGAAGAGAAACCTTCCAGATCAAAATCTTCTCGGAAAAGACCCAAATCAGATCATAAGGTGTTGGTGCTCTGATACCACTTGTAAGTGCTCTGATACCATTTGTTGGGTTATGATACCCATTTGTTACGTTAGCTAAACTCTATATAGCATTGTCCCCTGACCTATTCATACGATTCATCTATCTTATTCATGACTCAAGAATTCTTTACACAGTTCACGGCCACACCGTTACCTCTGGGGTGGATTTAGAGATCCACAACATCCAATATGAAGTATCAGAAAATACCTCTGATGTGGTTTACAAGATCGTTACTCTCTCTATTCTGGGTATATAAAACCTAGAGAGTATACAAGATAATAAAAGAGATTACATGGCTAAGAGCTAAGACTAGAATACGTATCAATCTCTAGCTTACTCTATCTCTCTAAGAGATGCCATGAAAGCACTTCTCTGAGGTTTGAGGCTTCAGCATCCGAGAGACTTGGTTTGTGCTTAGAGATCCCTGTTACGATCTCTCTTTTTTTGTATTGTCAACACTTAAGCTAATGGGCATTAATGATTAGGCCCATAGATTGTCTGCACATAACTTGTGCAATCCGGTCCAAGTTGAACACGTCTGATGGGCTTTGAACAAACCTCACCAAATTCTACCTTTTTGGTCCAAGTCCATGACCCTTCCTTTATGCTGACACCTCTTCTTCTGCTTCCCCTTGTCTTCTGTTATCTCTTGTCTCACTTCTCTCAGCTTCATCTTGGGCTAAGCTTGAAGTCCTTTCATGATGTTCTTGAATCCTGCACAAGCTTCAATTTATACACCACAACCGCTTAATGAGATTAAACACTTAAATCCACTTAGCACCATCCATGAACATAGACATCACGCCTGATAAAAGGTATGTGACAATCTCATTGCCATTCTGAATTTCCATCACCTTCATCTAGTGTCTTGAGTTGCAAACCAGCTGCTGTACTCTAAGTGTCAAGCTCAACTCCACATTGACGCCGTGTTACTTTATATCTAGTTACTCCTTGTGAACTTATCAACAACACAACCTTGCTGTCAAAATCACGAACCCTTTCAAGTGGTTGAACATAAACCTGAACATCCTTCTGCAAGTTGGTTTTCTCCTCGGCCTTTCGATTTCACTCATGTGCATTGAGCCTTGAATCAAAGTCCTTGAATACTGTGCAACAACCTTTGAACCATATATGCTTCAGACCTGAAAATACCTTTGATTCTCTACCTTTTTAAAATGCTGCAGCCTTGAACACATTTGTACCGCTGTTACTCTGAACATAACACGCCATCCAACCATCACTTCTGGACACACTTTCGACACAACCTAGTGAAACCACCATGCTTTAACGGAACCTTGATATCACACTGAACCCTTTAGAATCAACCGAAAACCTTGAAGTCACTCATGCTCCATATCTCTGGAACAATCTTTGACTTACCCTTGATGTTCTTGAACAGACTGCACTTGAGCATCACTTTGTACCGCTTCACACTTAAGCAGGAGACACCGCCAAAACCATATGATTAGGAAGACTATCAACACAAACATCTTTTCTCCACCATCTGATCAAACTGCTCTGCAGCAATAGAACCTCCACTAATAGATTTAGACCCCATTGCTAGTTGAATGAACCGAGCGTCATACCATGTAGTCCATAATACGCCTTGGCTCTCCTTCATGAGCTGCCTGTGATATCTTATCTAGAATCCATGGTATCCTTCCTTTACTCAGCTATGAATCCATTCCCTCAATACCCTTCTTGTACTGAGATGTCTCCAATACTGAAACATGTGCATCACCATCAACGACTTGAACACACTCAGTATTCACCTGTGATGGCACCATATATTCAGAACTACACCAATTCCTTTTCTTTAAATGCAATCGGTTCTGCTTTGCATTTAAACCTTCACGAAGCTTCTTTCATTTCCATGACTAGAGCTTAATATAAGCCTGCTTGTGGAGAACAAGTCTTACCTTTCCTGAAATGGACAAACTGAAAGAAAATTCCATGCAATCCCTGCAATGTCTTCTACCAGCTTCTTACTTTGTTTCTTCTCAGCATTCTTCATCTTCACCGCTCAATATTCCAGTTTAACTAAGTACTTCACCACGTTTCATCATGCATCACACTTGGCTCCTCTGTATCAACTTCACTGCAGTGTACTCTTGATACAAATGCCGAATTCACTTGTCTCGCCTACAAGTTTCGTATGTAAGACTCCTCTTACAAACTCCTTCTGATGCGCCTTGTACTTGTTTACTGATCTTGACACTTATGGCCTTGACACCCTGAACAGATCCATGACCCTCTTTGTAACACCCGCATTTTCCAAACTAATAAAATAAATAAATATGTGAAATCTCCATTTATTAATCCGCATAGATCATCTCTAAACTCCATAAATTCGATAAATAACCATAAATCCAAATAACGTAGGAAATCTAGAAAATATCGATAAAAACATAAGTCTGAAAATAAATAAATAAAACTCCCAAAAGCACCAGTCCGAAATGATCACTCCAGATCGTCAGTCTCACCTGAAAAGGGGGGGGGGGAAGAAAGAGGGGTGAGTAACAGGGGAGTCACTCAGTGAGGTATGGGATGCTAAACACGCAAAATACTGACTAAGTAAATAGAACTCCCACTATGAAAGTTTAGCTCTAACGTGAACAAACATAATGCCCAACGCATCACACAAAACAAACAATGCGCTGATGGTACATAGCTAGCCCACACACCCCGCATTCTCCTCATACGGATATACAATATCCTAATTTGCGTCGCTAGTCCAGACATCTCTGAACCCCTGCACTCCACAACTATGCGTTGATATGCAAACGTCTCTGCACCCCACACCCAACAAATATGCGTCGCTAGCCCAAACGTCTTTGAGCCCCCACACTCCAATATGCATCGATAGCCCGAATGTC